GTAGTGGTAGTAGAAGTAGAAGTAGAAGTAGAAGTAGAAGTAGAAGTAGAAGTAGAAGTAGAAGTAGAAGTAGAAGTAGAAGTAGAAGTAGAAGTAGAGGTAGAGGTAGAGGTAGAGGTAGAAGTAGAAGTAGAAGTAGAAGTAGAAGTAGTAGTAACTAGTAGTAGCAGCAGTAGCAGTAGCAGCAGTAGCACCCAGTAGCAATCTAACCGATAGCAACTGCGGATGCAGTCATGACATTCACGATGTAGATCGTTAGCCGGGATGTCAATGGCAGTGATGGCGATCGTCTTTACACTAGTCAGGATGGCAATGTCTCTCAATAGCTTTGTTTAGGCTAGGCTGGGCTTCTGAACAAGAGGGTGAGTGAGGAGAGCCCAAACTAACTTAAAGGACTGTTGGCGTACATGCGCCTGACTCGGTTCCATCGTAAGTGCCTAGCATCAAGCTTGCTGTGACTGTATTGCTTCTGGGGTGCTCAGCATCGAGGTCACCCGCTTGACTTTGCATCATTCGGCTGTGCCGTTAGGGAGCCGGGCCCGGATGTGGGAATAATGTAGGGGCCTTAATAAATACCTTTTCTATTTTGGGGGTTCCTAATTGTACTTATAGTATAATGGGCCCCAAAACCCTATTCTAATTATTAAGGCCCTTGTATTAGGCAGTTATGGGCTTGGTGTTTGGTTGATTCTGCAAAGGGTGGCCCGGTGCCAGCAAGTTTTCGCAGTGAGGGCAGAGTGTCCTTCCGGGATCTCATGCAAGCCTAAGTACAGCGATCTCTGCCGGCAGGGGCGACGAAAAAGCGATGCGGAGGCCAGCTTCGGGATGAAAATTCTTGTTTGGCGGTGGTGGTGGCGGCCGGGGACGGCTGATGATGACGATGACTGCGACGACAACGATCTTATTGTGATTCTGACGAGGGTGAAGATTCATGATCGAAGAAAGGAGACTACTGATCCTTTTGGCAACCGTATGTGTGATGATGCTCACCAGAGTGATGCTGATGATGAGCATGGTTCTTCTTTGTGCGACTATGACAATGATGGTGGTCTCAGAGCAGAGATGAACCTGAGAATGATGATGCTGATGGCGAGGCCCCTACTACATCCTAACTTCCGCTGCTCCCACGCTCTTCCTAATGGGGCTCAGATGTGAAGCATAGGTCGCTTGGTGGTTTGCACAAAAGCCAGCTAGCTATGTCGTTGTTGGTAGTGTGTTGGAGGCTACAGGAAATCTTGTGCTTCTCGTTGTGCAGCCACACTCTTCCTTGTTCGCTTGCCCGGTGTCTTCAGAAGGGTTTAGGGTTCAGGGCCCTAAACCCTAAACCCTTAACCGTTGCATCGCTAAGGGTTTCGGAATTTGGGCTTAGAGCCAGGTCCCCGAGCTTCGACCGCAGATGTCGCACTACGTCCCGATGGAGGCCGGCTGTTGCAATCAGGCGCTTCGATGAGGACTACCTCTGTCTCCATTGTAATTCCTTTTGTTGGTTTAACCAATTCTATATTAGGGATCCTCGAAGGTAGCCCCAAAAAGGAACGACAATGGAGACCATAGGTACCAGGCTTCCAACAGTATCGCGCGACAGAATGTACCCGCAAGCCCAAAGAAATGGCCGGTGATAATCTCCACCTCGAGGATCGGAAGCCTCACAGAAGACCAGTCAGATCTGCTTGAAATCCCGATAACGGCATGTTAAAAAACACCATGGGACCATGGAAGACGAAACCAACCCCCGAGCCTCGTCCGAATCATTCGCTTCGGAGCTCAAGACTCTTAAACTTGCCCGCCCTAAGCCAAAGACCAAGAGGCCATGGCGACTGAATGCCTTGTAGTTGTTCTCGGTTTCGGGCTCTTTGTCCGAGTGGATTCAAAGGGGGTCAGAATCTCCGCGACAACCAGCTAAGAGGGCCTGTTCAGTGATTCTGTGGCCCTGCACAAGCGGGGCCAACATTGCAAATCCTGCAATCTGCTGCGATGTGGGCTCTTCGCTAGTTACACACCTGCCGGCACAGCATACCTTGCCGACAGGATGAAGGCAACATTTTCAGACGAACATTTTTACTGTCGGGCTCTCAGACTTGACTGCCGCTTCCTGCTGCTGTGCATTGAAGCTGCACTCCGCCCTGAACCTCGAACCATTGGGGCCATGGACCCCGCTGACAACCCCTTGACGACCAAGACCGAGAAAGCCCTAAAGCCACCAGCTCTTCTAGCAACTTGCCGGTGCAAGGTTCGAAAACTCCGAGAAGCTTGGCTGCCCTTGGAACCCGATCTTCAATTCGCTCTTTCGGCAGTGGCCTCCTCATCAGACCCTGCACTCTAAACCATCAGAGTTTAGGATTTAGGGCAAAACCCTGAACAGCTGCTTTGAGGATGGGAAAACTCAAGACCAAGAGGGCTGAAACTCCCGAACCGCTAAGCCCATAGCCGTAAACGCTCAAATTCCCCGAACCCTCAAGCCTCAGACTTTCCATGCCCTGAAAACCAAGGAAATATGTGGTGGGGACATTGATTTCGGCAATGATGGTCACCACGATCATTATCAGCCTCCTTCTTGCAGATGAGGGTCCCTCTGACTAAGGCTAGGGCCGCTAAAAGCGGGTGAACCCTGATCACCGACGTTCTTCGCATATAGGGAAGGCCATGTGCTACTACTACTACTACTACGACGACGACTACTGATACTACTACGACTGCTACTACGACTACTACGACTACTACTACTACTACTACTACTACTACTACTACTACTACTACTACTACTACTACTACTACTACCACTACAACTACCACTACTACTACTACTACTACTACTACT